CCGCCGCCCCTGCCGCCGCCACCGCCCCTGCCGCGCCCGCCGGCGCCGCCGCGTGCATCCCATGAAGGGCCGCCGCCGCGGCCGCCGCCGGGCGGCGCAGGCGCCAACCCGCCGGGCGCGCCGCGACCCGGCGTGTAGCCCCTGCCTGCGCCGTGGACGGGGGCGCCGGCGTACCCGGGAGCACCATAGCCGGCATGGCCGCCGTTGGCGCCGCGGATTTGTGAGGGTGGCGGCCGGGGGCCGCCTGGAGCGGGCTGCCCCTGCCAATGGTATTGGGGCTGCTGCCGAATTTGCTGCTGCTGCTGGTAACCATCCTGCGCATGGGGCTGCTGGGGGTAGCCCTGCAGTTGGTATGGAGGCTGCTGTTGGTACTGGCCTTGGCGCTGCGGCGGCGGTTGCTGCTGGTGCCACTGATGCGGCCCCTGCGGCTGCATCACGTGCGGCGCGCCGCCGTCAACTTGCCCAGCACAGAGGCAAACCTAGCCAGCTGCGGAGCCCAGCAAATTACAGCCCAACCAGACGACGTAAGGAACCAATTTGAACTGTCCCCAAAGCTTGAGTCTGCAGAAAACGGTCCGCTCAATGGAGGTGCTTCAAAGATCACTTGAACCAGATCAGACGTGTGTCGGATGCGAATCACTTGAACAGCACATATGTCGTCGTCATTCGCAATCCATCACTGTGCACTTTTGATCGTATGGCACTAAGGCAGATGGCAACTGAGCAACTTCGGAAAATTTTCGGAATGCTTGCGCAGAGGAGGCAACCTGCACACTGATGATATGCAGTAGAAACTATAAAATTTTCTTCAGTTCCAGCTAGCTGAAGTCTCCCTCCCCCTGCTTGCACCACACTCACTGGTTTGAGTGACTGGCCGCCGTCAGCGGGCGGGGGAGATATTTCGGTTTTGCACTTTCGTTATGATGGGCCAGGCCTGGTGAGCAGTTCATGTCCATTGATTGTTGTTGAGAGCGAGAGGCGTGGGCCGGGTGCCTCACCCAAAACCGTGCACCCTTTTGTGATTCTACCGGCACTGGGGCTGTCAATGATTGCGTGGGTGTTACTTCTGGTTCGTGCACCTTCACGATGATGGCTACATCATAACAGGGGGGCAAAACTGATAAGATTTCCACCATAAAAACATAACTGAAATCAGACAAGGTCCGACGACAAACACATACACAAGCAGGCACAGGCATACGTCAGGTGTGGTATTTGCCAGTGAGGAGCACGAGTGGAAACACTATCAAACACTGCACGGCCAGGCCGGCCCATCTGCACCCCGGCACCACAGCACCTGTCAGCACCAAGCCCGGCGCGGCAACGCAGCTAATGGCCGTGCACGGGCCAGCCAGTGCCGCCGCGGGCCGCGCGAACGCTGCGGAGCACGGCTCTGGCAGCTGCCAGGTACGAGCCATCATGGGCAGGCCTGCTGCGGTGCAGCCTAAGGCCGCCCAAATGAACGCCGCGGCCCTCTCGCCCCGCAGAGCGGGGCGATACATGCGGCTGCCTGCCATGCCCTGGATCTGCCGCCGCCGTTCGCGCTGTCGGCAGACCTGCCACGAGCCTGGCGGAGCCCACAGCGCGCGGCAGGGGGCCGCGACGTGGCGCGGCCGCCCCCAGCCGCCAGCGACACCGGCAGATTGCAAGGCCATGGAAACCCGCACGAGGCCAGGCCGTCCCTGCCCGCGACGCCCCGCGCCCCCGCCCTCAGCGCCGCTTGGCGCGCCCCTGCTTGACGAACGCCCACGTGACGTGGATCGTCTGCTCCAGCAGCTTGGTGCCCTCGAGCTGCTTCGCCGCCTCGCGCGCCTCCTTCTCCGTGGCGTACTCGATCAGGGCGTACCCCTTGACGTAGCCGGTCTGGCGATCCAGGTTTAGGTAGACGTTCTTGACGTCCCCATACTCTGCAAACGCCTCGACGACGTCCTCCTCCTGTGCCTCCTCGTGGAGGCCCGTCACAAACAGCACCCACCCCTCGACCGACTTTGCGGGCCCCGACGCGCCGCCGCCGCCGCCGCCGTCGAGCGAGTCGTAGCGGGCGTTGCCGCCGGGGTCCTCGTCGCGCGCGGCGTCGCGGAAGCCGCGGCCCTTCTTTTTTGACAGGATGGTGTTGCGGAGGTCGCCGGCGTCGAGCGTCGCCTTCTGCTCCTCGTCCTCCTGCATTTCCTCCTCGGCCACATCCTCCTCCGCCACCTCAAACTCGAGGTCCGCCCTTGATTGGCGAGGAGGGAGGGGCGCGGGCGCGGGCGCGGGGGCGGGGGCGGCGGCGGCGCGAGGCTTCAGACCGGCAGCGGGCGTGTGCCGCCGGTGCGCGTGTGCTGCGCGCTGCTGGGACTGGCCCCGGCGTGGGCACGCCTGTACTGGCGGCACAGTGCTAAAGTGTGACGTAAACGACATGCCCTAGATGGTGCAGCCCGCGCCTCACATGATCGCTGTGGCGAGAGCCGGGCGGGCCCGCTGCCTGGGGAGCTGAGAAGTGGAGTCTACGGTGCTTTCTACTTGAAAGTTGCAACAACAAGCCACTGAGCGGCTGGTGGGGAACAGGCCCGCTGGATCACGCAGGGACGATCTGACAGCAGGTCGCGGTCTGGACGATGTTTGGATTAGAGACTATACGATACAGCATGTGAACTACGTCTCCTTGACACTGACAAGACGCGAACAGCGCGGGAAGAGAGGACGGCGTGGTGACATTTGATTCTGCGATTTGCCTCGCGCTTCGCCGCATAGTTTTCTGCAGTTGAAAGTCAATAAACTCTGCGTTAACCCAAACACAGCGGTGGTATATCGATACGCCAGTTGGCCCCCTACCGGGGCCTGCGGGGGAGTGCGCAGGGCCCTGTACTCGCCGAGGAAGGTCAGTGAGGTCGCATAATTGTTTCCTCTCTTGTAATCTTCAGCCAGCCGTGCGCGGCGCTCGCGCCGGGGCTGGGCGTGCAGCGGCAGGCGCAGGGCGGTCAGACGGGAATATGGCACACCACCTGCACGCGGGAGCGGCGGTCTGGGTCCGGCGCCCCGCAGCGGGCGTTCAGAATGGCGTAACGGCGGCGGCTTCGGAATGGCTGCCGGCGGTGGTCACGTCCGCGGACGAGGGCGGCGCGGCAGCCGTGGCACTTGAGGGGTCTGGCGAGGTGGTGGCATGCGCCCCGGCAGACATTGAGTTGCGTGGCGATGACTCATGCGTGCAGGTGGGAACCTGTAGGGGAGGAACTAGGGTCATGCGCACGGTTGTAGCGATGATGCGCGCGCATGCCTTTGCTGCGGCGCGCATGCGGGGCGGTTGGCATATGCGGGTGTGGGGCAGCCTGCTTGACCGCCGAGCGCGGCCAGTGCCGCTCAGCCCCCGGCCGCTTTGTGCGCTGCGGAGACATTGGGGCGCCCTGCTGGCTGGTTGGGAGGGCGCGCCCCGGCAGGCGCCTCGCCCCGCGCCGCGTGCGGCTGCGACAGCTCGCAGTGCAGCGCAATCGCACCTGCCCCCTAGCCAGTGAAGCATGAAGCCTGGTGGTGGGCCCACACTTCAGCCGACGCAGCTGTATCGTTCGTGCATATTCACGCCGCCAAAGCCAAACACGCACACAACCTTCCCCGCCGGCCCGCCGGCGGGGAGGCCCCATCCTGTCGCCGCCCCAAGAAAACGCGCCGCCGCCCGCCCTCGACCCCAGGACCTGATCCGCCTGGCGCACCTGAACGAGCCGTCCGTCCTGTCGGCCCTCGCGCGCCGCTACGCCGGCGGCCAGATCTACACCAACACCGGCCGCGGCATCATCATCGCCCTCAACCCCTTCACGCCAATGCCACACCTATACGACGCGGCGGCGATGGAGGCTTACAGATCTGAGGGCGCCGCCGGCGACGCGGTCGCGCGGGCGCCGCACGTCTACGCGGTCGCCAGCCAGGCTTACTGGCGGATGCGGGGCGAGGGCAAGGGGCAGGCGCTGCTGGTGCGCGGGGCCGGAGCCGCCGCGGGGGGCCCTGTGCTTGGGCTGGGCATGCGACCACGCCCCGGCCGGCTTTAGGCGCAGCGAGCGGTCGAGGCCGGAGGAAGCGTCCAGCCCCCTCCTGCGCGGCGGGCGGGGTAGGGGTGAGGGTTTGAGGGCCGAGCTTTGAGGAAGACAGCAGGCGGGACCGGGCGACCACGTGTTGGCTTTGCCGCCCGCTCGCAGGTCACCGGCGAGTCTGGCGCGGGCAAGACCGAGACCAGCAAGCTCATCATGAAGTACCTCGCATTCCTGGGGGTGAGTCATCGGCCGGGTGTGAAGTGCGGCAGCTCTGCGGCACGGGCGCGCGGGCGCACGTGAAACCTTTGTGTAGCCGCAGCTGCTGCGCACCGCCAGCATCTCTACCCCATGGAAGCCATGCGCCCCTCCCCGCAAAACACTCGAAGGATTGTCTCCCTCGTTCTTAGTTTTCAAACTCCCGCCCCTAAAAAACGCCTGTCGTCTTGTAACCAGCACCGCGCGCGCCCCCGCGCGCGACGCCAAACCCCCGCAGGGCTACAAGTCCAAGGACAGCGACGACGGCGACGCCGCGCGGCCCAGCGTGGAGCAGCGCGTGCTGGAGAGCAACCCGCTGCTGGAGGCGTTTGGCAATGCCAAGACAGTGCGCAACGACAACAGCTCGAGGTGGGTACGGCCGCCATGCACGCGCGACGGCGGGCGGCGCGAAAGCAGCGCAGCGGCGCGGCGCGGCCCTTTGATGCTGCGGTTGGGCGGTGTGGAGCGGGGCGTTGCAGGGGCCCGCGCTGGCCTTCACATGGCAAAGGGGATTCCCAGTGCTGCGACCCCGCCAAGCCCGGCTGGCCGCGCCCCGGCGGCGGGCCTTGCTACGGCTCCACCTCGGTGTCCCCCTGCGCCACGGCAGGCTCCTGAACCGGCCGCCCCGCCCTGCACCTTGGAACGCCCCAACAGGTTTGGCAAATACATCGAGCTTCACTTCTGCGCCGCGGGGTCTATCAGCGGGGCGCGCATCCACACCTACCTGCTGGAGCGGTCGCGGCTGGTGGCGCCCAGCAAGGGGGAGCGCAACTACCACATATTCTACCAGGTGGGTTGTGTTGGGGTGGCGACGGTGGGGTAGGAGGAGGGGAGGGGAGGGGTCGCGGCGCGCATGAGGGTGTGGGTGTGTGTGTGTGTGTGTGTGTGCGTGCACGAGCGTTGTGGGTGAGCAGCTGCCCTTGAAAGCAGCTGCGCCCACCATCTTGCGGCATCCCCGCCGCCAACCCCCATCCTCATCTACACACACACGCACAACCCTCGCCCGCAGCTCCTCGCCGGCGCGACCCGCGAGGAGCGCTCCCGCTGGGCCCTCGGCGCCTCCGCCGCCGCGCACCGCCTGACCGCCGCCGCCGGCTGCCTGGCCCTGCCCGGCGTCGACGACGCGCGCGACCTGCTGGTCACGCGCCACGCCATGCGGGCGGTGGGGCTGGGGGCAGACGAGCAGGAGCGGCTGTTTTCGATACTGTCTGCGCTGCTGCACCTGGGTGACGTGTCATTCGACCCCTGCCCCGACGGCGGCGACGGCTGCGCCGTCGGCGGGCCCGCCGCCGCGAGCCTGGCGGCGGCGGCGGGGCTGCTGGGGTGCGGGGCGGCGGCGCTGACTAAGGCGGTGACGACGCGGACGCGGGTGACGCCGGACGGGCCGATCGTGAGCCCGCTCGGCGCCAAGGCGGCGGCGGAGACGCGGGACGCGCTCTCAAAGGTGTGTGTTTTTGTGTCCAGATGAGGGTGCCTTTTTCGCTGCGGCCTGCTTCGATCGCTGCCAGTTGCAGGGCCGCAACGTGCCGCACGGCCCAGGCAGCCCGGGCCGCGGCGCTGCTGCCGCCGCCGCTGCCCCGCTTCGGCGGCCCGCCCGCCGCTGCAGATCCGCGCCGAAGAGAGGGTGTTATCCAACAAACACCCCGCGGCGCCCGCGCGGTCAACGCGCCGCAGGTGATCTACGCGCGGCTGTTTGACTGGCTGGTGGCGCGCATCAACGAGGCTGTGGGGGAGGACCTGGTGGGTGCTTGAGTGGGGCCCCCGGG